ATATATATATATATATATATATATATATATATATATATATATATATATATATATATATATATATATATATATATATATATATATATATATATATATATATATATATATATATATATATATATATATATATATATATATATATATATATATATATATATATATATATATATATATATATATATATATATATATATATATATATATATATATATATATATATATATATATATATATATATATATATATATATATATATAAATTAAATACCCCAAAAAAAGTCCAAAAAAACAACAAAGCTACAAAATAATAAGATAAATATTGAATATGACTAAAAATATATTTATTAAATATACTAAAGTCTAAAAATACAACAACCCAACAAAAAAATAATAATAATAATCAATTAAAAGCCTAATATAACTAAATAAATGTGTTGATAAATATACTAAAATCTGAAAAACAACAAACCAACTAATAGTAATTACAGTAATAAATCAAAAATCAAAAATCTTATATAACTAAATAAATATCGTATAAAATATCCTGAAGTCCAAAAATACAACAAACCAACAAATAATAATAATAATAATTATAATAATAATAATAATAAATTAAATATGAAATATAAATATATTATTAAATACATTAAAGTCCAAAAATACAACAAAGCAACATAATAATAATAATAATAATAATAATAATAATAATAATAATAATAATAAACCAAAAATGTAATATACCTAAATAATTATATTATTAAATATATTAGTAAAAAAATACAACAACCCAACCAAAATAATAATGATGAATTAAAAGCCTAATATAACTAAATAAATATATTATTAAAGTCCAAAAATACAACAACTCAACCAAATAATAGTAATAGTAGTAAACCAAAAATGTAATATTACTAAATAAATGTATTATTAAATATCTAAAAGACCAAAAATACAACAAACCAACATAATAATAATAATAATAATAATAATAATAATAATAAAAAACAAAAATGTAATATAAATAAATAAATATATTATTTATGTCAAAAATACAACAACCCAACCCAAAAAAATAATATTAATCAATTAAAAGTCTAATATAGCTAAATACATGTATTATTAAATATCCTAAAGTCCAAAAATGCTACAAAGCAACAAAAAATTATCCATTTGTAACTCCTCCCTCTTTTAAAAAGAAGGATGACAGCCATTTCATAATTTCATTTGAATTTACAGCGACAGACGCCAAAATTACACAATGAGCATCAAAGCTAAAAGTGGCAGTTTCAATGAGTTATAAAACATTATTTGACTTGCATAACATCTTGTAAAAAGGGGCCCATTAAAGATTATGAGGGCACATGCATTTTAAAACAGCTGATAATGTACAATAAATACCTCAATATTTCATTAACAAATAGAAATTTCCTCGTTCTAATTCAAGGTGGTACATAACATAACTTGTCTCTGTGTGTTGTTTGTGCATGTTTAGCTACTGTGAGGAGATTCCAGCAGAGGAGAATGAGGTCAGTAATGATAACTCATCCAAAAGCAGCAGCGAGAACAAGCCGGACAACAACAGCTCTCCTCCAACACACAAGCGATCCATCACTCACTCCACCATCACCTCCACCACTCCACCCAGCAGCACCGATACACCGCTGTCCGTGAGTCTAAGAGCTCATGCTTGCTTTCTACATCTCCTTTTGTTGTTGTTGATGTTGTATATTGTCAGCTGTATGCCATTTAGACTTTAGCGCCCTCTGCTGGTTTCAGTTTGACATCTCTGCTGAGGAGTACACGGACTGTCTTGCTGATGGAGATCTGCTGCCGCTGCCTCTGCTGGCCGAGGAGAGGAACAGCGAGCCGGCCAGTCCTGTGGGCTCCGTCCTGCCACCAGCACTCGACTTCAACGACAATGAAGACATTCCCACAGAACTCAGCGACTCTTCGGAGACACACGATGAAGGTTTGGAGAGTAAAAGAGAAACTGAATGCTTTCCTGTAGCTTCCACTATGTTTAGAACTCAATATTTTTTTGACTGAAGATACATAGCATGCTCGCCCAAAGTTTATCAAACAATGGATACTTTGAAGATTGCAGAAGTTCTCAAAGAAGTTCTCAATAATTTCACAGTTTCTTAGTAAAAATGATTCTGTTAGCCAGTAATATGCTTCTAATGTTGGAAAAGGAGCTGTTCATATAAGACAAATAGGATGTAATATTCTAATGTTGTGTTTGACTGTGTTTTCAGGAGATGAAGTTCAAGCATTCCATGAGGATCTGAACGGCCGTCAGTACATTAATGAGATTTATAAATTCAGTGTTGATAAGCTGTACAGCGTCCTCTTTACTGAGTCCCAGTTCATGACCGACTTTATGGAGCAGAGGAGATTCACAGGTCAGAACAACATCCATTTATTTAATTTTATTTTTTATTTTACTTTTTTTTTTTTTGCTCTTTTTTGTTTTACTTTTGTTTTATTTTATTTTGTTTTATTTTATTTTGTTCGATTTTTTTCTATGTTATTTATTTTTTGTTTGTTTTTTTTGTTGTATTTATTTTTGTTTTATTTTGTTTTGTTGTATTTCTTGTTTTATTTTGTTTTGTTTTATTTTTATTTTATTTTAAAATTATTTTTTTTTCTTGTATTTTATTTTTGTTTTATTTATTGTTTTGTTAAATTTTTTTCTATTCTGTTTTTTTTTTGTTTTATTTTATTTTTGTTTTATTTTATTTTGCTCTATT